GCAAGAATTGGACAAACTATATAATTCCTTGTCCAATTATTAAACAATTACATCACAAGAGAGAGAGAGAGAGCTGTGTCTCCCTGGTGAGAGTTGTGTATTCCCTTGTTCTAGCTTGTTACAACCTTGTATTACCCCAAGAAGCAAAATTGATTTTTTCAATTGAACACAACCATGTCTCAAACATGAACACGAATCCTTTTCACCACAAAGAATGGGAAATTGTGATTTTTTTTCATTGAATCAATGGAATCCATAACCTCCAGGGATATTGTTCAGAAAAGAACAGTGTGATGCTGCTTAGAAAGTTCCTCTTTTCCCACCCTCTGAGTCAGGGGTCAATGAATCATGAGACTAAGCATGACACACGAAGCAGACGCACAAAAGGGGAACTAAAGGGAGACCTACCCAAACTGCTGGGAGATGTGTGGAAGTTGCATATCTCATGACGATGGTGATGATGACAGTCCTCAATCGGTCTAATCAAAGCAGCCACTGGTCTGGCCAAGAAATACTTGTTCAGCACAACTGTAGGCAGAAGAGATGCATCTCATTTTATAAACAAGACCATATTCATCTTTAAAAAAAACATTTTCATATTAAAATATCGGACACAGTGCAACCATTCTGGCATTATCTCTGCCATGCGCACTATAATACAGAACAAATATCATATACACTCATCATACATTACTAATTATATACAATTATTCTACCCAATATACTCATTTATTTTTGCGCAACTTACAACACATTTCTGATCTACAAATCCTGCTTATTTCCTGTTCCAACTCCCCCCTCTCAGTTCCAGCCATTGATAAAATCTATTCCACATATCGTGATATCCTGTCTCTCCTTTTTCTTTAATTCTAACCGATTCTGCACAATCCAATACTTTATTATCTCTCTAAAGGTATATTTTCACATTTCCATTGTTGGGCATACACCATTCTCACTGCTGTTATAAAGTATAGTATTAAATATGTTGACTCTTTATTGTACCTCTCTGTTATAATTCCTAATAAAAATAATTCTGGTTTAAATTCTAATCTTTGTCCAACCATTTCTTTTAACCACATCTGAATCCGTCGCCAAAATTCCTTTGCTTTTTTATATGTCCACCACATGTGGTAACATGTGCCTGGTACTTGATTGGATTTCCAGCATTTCGGGGATAAGTTGCTAAACCTTTTAGCTAACCTTGCCAGAGGAAGAGACCATCTATAAAACGTTTTGTATAAATTCTCCTTGTATGAAATGGCCAGCCTTAATTTCCTATTTCTTTCCCACAGTTTTTGCCATTTTTCCAATTCAATGTTATACCCAAAATTTTTTGGCCCATACCACTATTGTCTCTTTTGACTTGTTCTTCATTCCATTTTATATCTAGTAGGTATTTATAAATTATCTTTATCAATTTCTCGTCTCCAATAAAAATTTGCCTAATTTCATTAAATCTCTACTAATACTCCACATGTTCACATCCTTCGTGTAACATGATTAAATTTGTAGGTATGACCACCACTCCAATTCCAAGACCATTTTGATCTGATCCCACTAATGCTTATAACACACTATAACAATACACAATCACAATGCTTAATTTTTTTTAAATAAAAAGCCCTTTGTCAGAGCTGTAAAGTGTAGAAGTAACAAACAAGCATTAATGCAGTGAAGAAACAGCAACTCACTTATCTACTGAAACATACTTTTAAATAGAAACATGGCTTCCATAAGCATCAAGCAGCCTTGTTAGCCCTGTAAGCCCACTCAGGACTATTCACAATGAAGAAAAACGGACCCACCCACCCCAACCTGTCTATCATCACTTGAACATGAAACGTGTGAAGCAGTCCATAAATTGATGGGGGAAAGCAACCCAGATGAATAAGATAAAACTGGATGTCCGTCATATTCAGTTTTTTTAGTGATTCTGGAAGCATTCCAACCCCACGTCATCTTCACACATTGTTAAATGATGCGAAAGTGCACCTAAGACTTTGTTTGCCAATGTGGCCACAGGTACAATATAAATGGTACCCTGCTCAATAGTAGTAACTCTGAGAGGGATCTTGGAGTCCTAGTGGACAACCATTTAAATGTGAGCCAGCCGTGTACAGCAGCTGCCAAAAAAGTCAACATAGTTCTAGGCTGCATCAACAGAGGGATAGAATCAAGTTCATGTGAAGTGTTAATACCACTTTATAAGGCCTTGGTAAGGCCACACTTGGAATAGGGCATCCAGTTTTCATCACCACGATGTAAAAAAAGATGTGGAGACTCTAGAACTATGTGCAGAGAAGAGCAACAAAGACGATTAGGCGACTGGAGGATAAAACATAGGAAGAACGGTTGCAGGAACTGGGCATGGCT